TACTTTCATAATTTAATATTTTACGTTAATGTATATTTTATAAGATATAAAATATTTCGGTAACGAATTATCGATAATACGATGTTTGATTTTGGCAATATAAAATATAAACAGTAGCGTGCTATACGGTGCCGCTTTGTCATCATTCGTACGGTGACTCTCGAGTAATAAAGTAGTGGTAAGAAACGTTTTGTATATTATAATTTTTTTACTAAACATAATGACAATTAGTATGGAAACATAATTTACTATAAATTTTAATAAAAATTAATTAATTAAAAATTAATTAGCTACATGAAACTGTAATGCAACGATAAATCTTTATCGAATCACAATCATTCATTACTGCGATTAAAAATTGAAACAGATTATGCATGAAAGAGTATAAGAGATTATGTTGTGATATTTCGATCATCGATCCTTATTATAATATTTCTTTATAATATTAGAATATAATATTAGAATTAAATATATTTCAACCAATGCTTTAAATTTTCTCAATTTTTGTTAATTAAATACATAATTTAATCGAAATCTTATTATGCAAATTTAAATTTATTTACTATATTTCAAAATAAATTCCAAATTATATATATATATTATTATATATTATATATTATATTATTAAATGGAGTGAGAGTAAAGGATTTGAGAGCTTTTACTCTCACTCCATTTAATTATTTTTTATAGAGAGCTTATTAATTACAATTATTATATTATATTATATTATATATAAAAAAAAATTATATATAATATAACCCTCCCATGGGGTACACCTTGTCGTGGTGGGAGGGCTTAGTACTTGGATGGTGCCTTGAGATTTATTTTAAATTTTTCTATTTACGATAAATCTTATGGTGCCTGAAAGGGAAGCGAAGTACCCTTTCGCGTCGTCGGTGCCGCCAACGTGCCGCGGACGGCAAGCGTTTCGTTACCGCGTTTTCGCGTTGTAGTATTCTCGCGTCGTCGCGTTTTCGCGGAAATTTTGGACTTTTTCATATAAAATCCCAATTTCATTTATTGTCACGAGTCTCTACTTCCGATACCAACTAACTGGGATGTTTCGAGTTTGCACACGTTGTTATGCAATGTACACTCGCGCTTCGTGCTTCGTACTTCGTCAAATGATTCGGCCCGAATTAGTTAGAACTCGATCGATTGCTCGGAATGGTCGTCAATGGGTCCCTTCTCTTTGCTCGTCTACCCTACAGCCACACGCACTGCGTGTGTTAACCCTGTCGAGGAGTCGAGTGGATTCCCCTAAGCATGATTTTCGCTCGGTAAAAGGGGTTGCCTCCCCATTTTTTAAATCGCTGAATGTTAGCATTTAAAAAATGTGGGTATCCTCTTCTTTTGCCGTCTACCAGCCTGGTGTAGCCATATCCTGCATTGCGGGAAACTTCGTGTTCCGGGCGAAGCACCTGAAATCATGCTTAGCGGGTCCAGGTTCGATACGAGATAGGATAATTATGCGCGAAAAAGAGCTGGTGAACTTTATTTTCCTCTATTCCGTCAATCGTTTCGTCATCTTTCCGGTTCGGGCCTAATCTTTGCTCATTGTATCGTTGCACTCCCGACCTGTTGGCTCAAAGTTAAGTCTCGTAAATGAAATGAGATTTTCGCTCGTACCGAAACCGGGAGTGTCGGACAAAGTATATATATATTAAATATATACATCGCGCGATCAAATTTTTAATCCGAATACCGAAGTAGTGCGGGAGTGCCGTTTAGTATCGCGCGTAAAATAACGAAAATAGCGATATAAAAATATCGCTCGTGAGTGCGGGAGTGCCGTTGAAAATATCGCGCGTCAACAACATGAGAGGAGGAGGAGGCCTGGGAGAGGCATCTTGCATCGGCGGAGCAACCTGATGGTGAATATTTATTATTTGTATATCAATTGTTATAAATCGTACGCATAATAATTTGATCTTATTATTTAAATGAATTAAAGAGAAAATTAGAGAGAAAGATTTTTATAAAAGTTATATAAAACTTTTTAAAAAACTTTCTTAAAAAACAGTTTTAAAATTTTATAAAATTTTTCCACACGTGTTTATCTCTGCTTATTATTTTATACATCGGATATAAAATTCCGCGCGATAAAAATTTTTTGAAATATTGATTGCATTTTGTGAGCATTAATATAAATGAATTTTATATTTGTATGTTACAGACAACGTAGCTTCGATAAATATAACTCCGCTGTTGCGCATCAGTGTCGGTGAGTGAGAAAAACTTTTATTTAACTTTAAGGAAACGGATTCGTAGAGATTGTAGATGTAGATTGTAGATTGTAGATTGTAGATTGTAGATTGTAGATTGTAGAGTAAGTCCGTTGCCTTAAAATGGATGAGCTAGGATAGATTAAATTAAATAACTTTTAATAAATTCTTTCGAAATGCTTTGCATCTATTGCGAAAATATATTGAAGTATTAATTTAAAAAAGAGAATCAAGAAAAGAAAATTTTTTTGTAAAGACTTGACTAGTTTATTAAATCAAGAGCACGCATTAATAATTTTAACAATTTTATCAATTTTTGATACTACTTTATTCTTATAACGCGCATTTATTTTATTCTAATTTCTTATATCATAGCTCATCCATTGTAGAATTTGTTTGTAGATATTGTTTTTAAATTTTACTTTAACTTAAAATAAAGCTAAACGATTAATTAATTAAATAATTTGTAATATCATAAAAATTATACACACACATGAATTTTATATTTTATTAGAAGATATAGTATATAGAAATTTGTTGTAATTTGGCTTTATTTGAGTTAAAATAAAGTTATATTCAAATATTTAACAAACGATCGTAAAATCGAGCGATCGTTACGATGCGCGTGAAATATTTACGCTCATTTGCCGGTAATTAATCGGCAAAAGAAGGAGTGTTTATCTCCTTTTTCGATCTCTGATTAGAGATCGAGCGAGAAAGTGGCCAGGATCAATGAAAAGTAAGTTCAACTGGCCTGAAGAAAAGCTTTACGTACAATAGTACGTAATGTCGGACATTTATTCACGCGGTTAGGGCAGTTAGAGAATGTAATTAGAGCACGTAATTAAAGTATACGTGATTAGAGATAGGCTTTCCTCGAATAATTTCATTTAATCGAGAAATAGGATTGTTAGGGCTATTAGGTGATCATTAAGATTTTTTAATTTTCCTTTCAAAAAGTAAAGGATTGTTAGGGCTATTATGTGATTAATTTAGCTGATTTTATATTATGTATCTTTTAAAGAATCAGGAAATGTAGGTTTAAATAATATTAGGGAAAACAAATTAATAAATATTTCAATAATTATATTATTAATATAAAGAAGAATAATATTAAGAATAGATTAATATTAAGAATTTTTAAGGGATCAATATTTTTTGAGTATTTTCTAAGAGAGTTTTTTTTCCGCACGTAAAAAAAAAAGGATGTTAATTTATTTTGTATTACATTTCAAATTATATAATATTATATTTTACATTAACTTTTTGTATTAAATTCTGTAGTGAAAGAAAATGAAAAATTTTGCCTTCTCCATGATATCTCCATCTTAAGGAAGGCATTTGCCGGCTGAGGAGGTTTGAGTATTTTAATGAGCCTGAGAGCTATGCCGGTAACATACACCGATATTCGTATAGACTTTTCTTATATTTAAGATAATTTTAAATATGATCTTAAATATAAAAGTGAGTAATGAATACCGATCGTAGTTATTGATAGTGTCATCTATGCCGGACATATCGAAGGGGAAATGTCAGACTAAGAGAAATACCAAAATTATATAAATATTTGTTATATTAATTATATTAATATTTTTAAATAAAATGAAAGAAAAAGGGAATAATCGAGAAAAAGGCAACTACAGTGATTTGAATATCTATAGCTGAGAACAAATAGAAAGTATTTCGATGGACTCCATAAGAAGGAATAAGCATGACACAAATGATGATAATTTTTATAATTTTAACACAAAAGAATACAATAAACCATAATAATCCAAGAACTCGAAGAAGAGGAGATTTCTATTGGATAGAAATGCATAATGATTGAAAATAATTAGAAACTAAAAGACAGTGTGCAATCTATTTATTAATAATAATACTATTTTGTAATATTTTGTATATTAAATTTTATAATTTAGTACATTATATTATATAAAATATTAAGCATAAAAATATTATGCTGGTAAGAAAATTATAATAAAAGTATATAAATAATGTTGACTATATTAGAATAGAACATATAAATTCTTTATATTTTATATAAAGGAAGAGATATTTAAAATATTTTGCAACATCTATATTTTTCGAATATATATATATATATATATATATATATATATATATATATATATATATATTTCTAAACATAACGCAAATATTTCAGAATAAAGTTGTAGCGTCATACTATATATACATATATATATATATTATATGTGTGTGTGTGTGTTTATTTGTGTGTGTGTAGAGAGAGAGAGAGAGAGAGAGAGAGAAAGAGAGAGAGGGAGAGAGAGAGGACCACAAAATTTATTTAAAAAATTAAAATTAAAAATTTATTTATATTTATATACATATGCGTTTTGCTATACAGCACTGATGGCATTTCGTGTACTACAGGCATTTTTTACATAGCACGGAACAGAATCAGAAATTGTGCACATATATGTTACCCTCTGAGAACTTTCGTGGACTTTGGCTTTGTAGTTCATGTCCACGTTTTTTAGATTACAGAGGGCATATCGCTTTCAGGGATCACCTAAAAGTGGGCCATGACACCTCTCAGTCTTCTCTCTGCTCTCAGTCTTCTCTCTGGTCAAAGATACTGATTGGCTGTTAGCATAAAACTTTCCGAAATCCCTAGAAATTCTCTATGTGATGATCAATCGAAAAGCAGATGTAATATCACGATGGAAAGTGCATTCTATATACTTAGCATCAGAAATTTAAATCATTTGATTAACCAATAAGGACGAAGAGATCTTTGCTCATTTTGATTGGTTAAACGATTCGAAATATTTGTGACGAGTGAAGTGCACTGAAGATATTTCTCGCACTTATCAGTGTTGTTGGTGTGCATTTGTCATCTTTTGTATCTTTTCATAATTCAAAAAATCCGAGTCTCCTAGACGGTGCCAAAAATTGTGATCAGTTTAAAGATTCATCGCGATCTAATAACGTTGAGGTGAGTTAGATTTATTATTATGGAATATTTAACCTCGATTATACATCTCTCATAACATTGCATGCTGTTTATTTGTTGCGCATGTAATGCGGTACACAAATGTGAATTTTTCAACTTTTTAAAATTAAATAATTACACGAGAGAGTTTTCAATTTACTAAGTTCTGTTACCAAGGCAAGATTTTTTTCATATAATGTTTGCAATTTCTTCTATCATTATTTTCAATTAGATACATAGAGATAGAGTGATATTAATAATAAATGTTTTAATATATGAATTTATTAACATATCCAAGTATATGCATATATGCAATTTATATATATGTATCTCTAAATACATGTGTCTAAATTCATATATTAAGACATTAATGGCTTTGTATATATATATATATTCTATGACATTATTATTTATATATACAGGAGTATTTTATTCTTACATATATTATAGGATCAATCATCAGCATGACTGGTGGAAATAACACTGAGAAATCAGCCAATAATCCTTTAGAGCAGTTTGTATTGCTTGCAAAAACTGCAAAAGGTGCTGCTGCCATAGAACTCATAAGGCAAGCTGTTGAAACACCTGGCGTTCATGTTTTTGGTGAATTATTAGATATGCCAAATATCAAAGAGTTGGAGAATGGGCCTTATGTCCAATATTGGAATACTTTGAATCTGTTTGCATATGGCACCTATAAAGATTATTTGGATAATAAAGAGAAAGTGTTAGAATTAACTCCTATACAAAAAAAGAAACTTCAACATCTTACAATTGTCACTCTTGCTACAAAAAACAAATGTATACCTTATTCGGTATTGTTGGAAGAGTTAGATATAAAGAATGTTAGAGATCTAGAGGATTTAATTATTGAAGCAATATACGCAGATATAATTCATGGGAAATTAGATCAAAAAAATTCACAATTAGAAGTAGATTATGCTGGTCTAGGACGAGATGTACGACCAGGTGATACTGGTGTAGTAGCTGAAACCTTAGCTGCTTGGGGTGAAGCGTGCGATACAGTTTTATCTTGTATCGAGGATCAAATATCTAGAGCTAATGTTGAAAAACAAAAAGCTACTTATCACAAAGAAAGAATACAGAGAGATGTGAGTTCTATGTTTCCTTTTTAATTACTTGTTCTATAAATTGTTAGAAATTTAATTATATATAACTAGTTACAATATGGATTTTCTTTGTTATGTTATGTTTAGATTACGAATATAAAGAAATCTCTCGCAGCTCAAGCAGGAGGTAGTAGCATTCAAGAAGCTGATGTGGCTGGCGGTAGTTCTGGCGCAGGAGGAAGTGAATCAAGTAGAGAAGCTATGCCGGTGCTATCGGAGAAGAAGAAGTTACAGAAGGTCAAATGTATCAAAGTCAGTGGTAAGTTTTGGAAGACATAAATTCAATAGTCCTTTCTTGCACAATGTGCATTCTTTGCATCATATATTTCATTGAATCGGATTTTACGCTTCGAATTTGGTGTAAAAAATCGAGTCTAAATAGTCGAATTTGAAAGTGATGGAAACATTCAAACATTTTTGTATTAACTTTTAGTTTAGATTATATTGAATGATGAATGAAAAGAGAATAATAATATTAAAATTACATGCAACGGATTATTCATGCCAAATTGAAAATCTTTTATGTATCTGAAATTATCGAATTAATAGAGATTTTTAGAGTAAAGTAGGAAAATAATATTTTATAGAACACTCTAAATATATTTATAATATCAAACAGTATACAAATATGTAATACTATTCAATTTTATGTAATGTTTATGGTAATTATGCTAATAGCGAATAAAATCAAGAATATTTTTTCTTATTAAAATATATTTATAAGAATGATTTATTGACACACATATACATCATATAGAATTTTTCAGAAAAACCGAGGTTGATTTCTATTTTATTAATAGCAATGTGTGTTTAGGGAATCAGTAATATGCATACACATACATATTTTATATACACATATACATACTTTTACTGTGATTATTTCAAATATCTAATGTAGTTAATCTTTGCTGTATAAACGATTTCGGTAGTTGTTTATACCAAATTTATCATTTATTCACGGAGTTAATCATTTATTTATTCATACCAAATTAAGAATTTTAATATATACGTACAAAGTATACCTAGCGAGATATATGTGACGATTGTCTTTACATCGAGCATTTGAAAACAATGAATCTTTTCTTTGCGACAAAGATAATTTTGTAGGTAAGCTTGAATATTCTTGTGATATATCTGTTTATTTTTTTTAGACCAAAGATATCATGTTTTATGTTTGTAGGGCGTGAAGAATTTAATTAGGATTTGACTCTAGATGAAAATTTGATAAATAATGCAAGATGCATTGCATATTTATCAATGCATACGTGCCTACCCATTGCCAGAAATCACATAAAACGGTATGCCCATTGTGACGAGTTGATCGATGCTTACGTGTACTTCCAACGATATTATCGTTCGTACTGTTTGCGTTGAGACTTTATAGATTTTCGTTTTGTAAGGATTTATAATCGCTAAACAATTCATTGACGCATAACTAGTCGAAAAGGTCGTTTTTGAAGAATCTTGTATGTTCAGAAAATTATCAAGGTATACTACTGATGTAGTTTAGCAAAAAAAAAAAAAAAAAAAGAAATGTCAGCCGTCTATTGAAGAGCGTTGTAATTGCTACTCGAATAAAAGGATAATATATTTTAGTGAGGCTTTTTTCTGTAACCTTAATGTCTCTTTTTCCCTCACGATTGTCTCGTCTTTTTCACCTTGTTTCCTTCACCTGTTAGAGAAAACTGATGTTAGGTTTTAAGAATGATGCAACTAGGTATCTAACATTGTAGGAAAGAGAGAAAATTATTGTTATTAAAATATTGTTTTAGTTATATATATATATATATATATATATATATATATATATATATATATATAATTAAAATTATTTCTTACTGACGAAAGAATATACTTGTATTGTGAATATGAAGAAGAAATATCAAAAATGTAAATATGTGTACAGAAAATTTTGTGTATATACATATATATATATATACACGCACGCACACACACACAATTTTCTGTACGCATATTTACATTTGTAATATTTCTTCTTCATATTCAATTATCTTCATTAGTGAGAAATTATAATCATACAATGGTATTTTTTCCTTTTTAATGTATGATTATAAGAGCTTAAAATACAAGTCATAAATTATATGGCTAAGGATTTTCAAGATCTGCTACTGATCCGTTTGATTAACAGTCGATAAAACAAGTTGAAAATAATCGAGAATGAATTAGATGGAACCTTGTGGCAAGCTATTTAGATATTCTTTTTTTTCTTGCTTTTTTCTTTCTTTCTCTTTCTTTCTCTTTCTGTTTCTCTTTGTGATTCTGACGTTAGAGTTCTTTTTGTAACTTTTATAGCTTTTAAAAATAGCATCTTTAAATTGTTTCATATTTATTGTAAATCGCATCTGATATTCGTTAAAAAAATAAATGATTAAAGAGTTTCTTTTTTTTCTCATAAAATTCATTTATGGCAAGGAAAATAGTATGCAGTGGGTACATTATATCATCGATTTTATTTTGTAACTTTTATTCTAATAGATACATTATACTAATACTATTTCTTCTCTATATTTTAAAATTCGTAATGTATTTAAAATATCTTTAGATCGCGTGATATACGTATATATATATAATAATATATATATATATCATTTTTGACATTGTATTTTTGCATTGCATTTCATGGAATTTACACATTGCATAATCACGCGTTTTTTCATAATTCAAAGAATATAATTCAAATAGATTTGATATGAGCTAAGACAATAAATTCGTATTTATGGTATTACATGTATGTATTATATGTACAATTACTTATAATTTATTTTGTGTATAGGCACACACACATATACATATATGTATACATGTATGTGTGTGCGTTTGTGTATGTGTATATAGTATATATGTGTATGTAGTATATATATGTATATGTATATATATATACTTCGAATACCCATCGAGGTATATTTTGTTGCATTGTTTCATATATATAATTGTCATAATTATTTGATTTATATATATAATTTCGTTCTTTTTATATAAATCTTAAATTATTACTTATTTTTAAAATGTACATAAAATTATAATGAAAAATTCTTTTGATACGTGCGATAATATGTAGGAGTGCTAAATTGCACATTTGAAACTTTTTTTCTAATAATTTAATAGTTATATCTTTCTACTGCTTATATATATATTGAAATTATAAAAATTATATTTAATAATAATTATATTTGACAAACGATTAAAGATGATTAAATATGAGTAATACTTAAAAAAATATCACATTCTTATCTATATTTAAAGCCTAATAAAAAAAAAAGAAAAAAATATTTTGAAATGTAATAGTTTAAAATTAATACATCTGTACTTTAATATTAGCATTTGTGCATATACAGAGGAATTATACAAATAAATAGTAATAAAGTTTACAGATACATATGCTTAATAATTATGTTTCTATTTACATAAATAACATAAATTGAAGATAATCTGTTATTTAAAGAAAGTAAAAAAGTTCCAATAAATAAATGGTACATAATGTGTAGTATGTGTGTATATGTATATTGTATATTGTATATTTATAAATAATTAAATACTCGATTGATCGTAAAATCCGATTGAATGCACTATTAATAAATTGATTGATTTTTTCATAGTAATTATTTTATAATAATTAATTAAATGAAAAGTTTATTGATATATATGGTATGCAAATGATATGTTTGTCCTGAATGAGATATATTTAATATTATATAAAAGTAATAGAAATTTCAAATCTGTTTTACAGCATATCTAAATAATTTTTAAACATTAAAGAATCATAGTTTAGAAATAGATTTGCACTATCATAATTGTGCATATTATTTCTACAGAGAGCAATTCCTATAGTTTGCAGAAAATATTTCTAAAAATTTAACATTATACTATTTATTCTAAAATATGTAAATGTACATATATTTTATTTAAGTGTAAAATGCGACGCGATGAAGAGAGGACGTTAAATTAACCTTAAAGTTTATATATTTTTAAATAGATATTTTACAATTATATGTGTATATATATATATATATATATATATAATACGAACATTATTTTTAATATTCTTAAAAAACTTACGAATTTATCTAATAAATTTTAAGATATTGATCTTATAAATACAATATCAGAAAATTACTTCTGCTTTAAACGGGAAAATTTTTTAATTTATCAAATCAGAGATTTATATATACACATTTAAATTTCCATAGCATCTGTTATATTTGATGACAAATGATATTGAAAATAATATATTTCGATACCAAATTTTTATAATTATATATGAAAGGATGATGCAGAATTTATTTATAATTAATACATATTATATGTTAAAATATACAAAAAATAAAAATATTGAAAGGGATTTAAACAATTTTAAAAAAATCTTTAAAGGGGAGAGGTTAGTCTCTTCAATTTTTTCATGAATTGGAAAGTTATAATTTAAAATCGAGAAAGAAGAAATCTCTATCTTTAGCAAGATATTATGTAGTTAAAATATTTAACACATTTTATATTACATTAGAAATGTTAGTGTTTAATAATTATCAATGAAAATTTGAACTATTTTTTTATATAAGAGATAAACAAGAGAATTTTACGCTTTAATCTATCGCTTAACATCTGTCTTATATTCATTAAATATAAGAATAAAATTAATTTAACAAATCTTGTCTTCATTAAAATTATAATTTCCTCCAGAATTAATATCGAGCTGTTATATATCTATTAATAATACGCCGTCAACATGACAGCGAAATGCACTATTTATTAATTATACAAATATTTCTCGCGCACATTATATTGCATAATTAGTTAATGAAACATTTTTTAACTCTAAAGTCCATTATATTCTTACGCTTTTTTTCTTAATTTAAGATTATAGACTTATGACATTTCGTGCATTATGACCTACATGTGTTTTTGGCATATCATATGTGTACGATACGCGTAATAAATTTGATTTACTTTACTTTTGCTCTATTCTAATGAATAATTTAAAGTGAATAAATAATATTATAATGAATAATATCGTACATATATATATATATATATATATATATATATATATATAATTTGCCTAATAGTTGTTATTTACTATATAACGAGTTTTGGTGAGGAACATCTAATGACAAATAATTTCTAAAACAATTTTTAAAATAGATATTTTGTGTCTTTTGCGTTAAAAAATACATTGACATACCAATCGTATATATGAAGAATAAATCAGACGATGACAGGTTTTTTCGAGATTGGTTTTAAAGACAATTCTACCTTTCGCTATAAAGAGAGGTCACTTTGAGAAAGCGGTCCATTACCTATCCTTGCATTGCTATTAAGTCGTTTTGTCATAATCGTGCTGTTTTTTGATTCTTTATTATTCACAGACGCGATTACATCCGGCGATTCTTCACTAATCGCCACAGTAGCCATATCTTCCTTTTCGTTGTTAGTCGTTTGAGTTGATCGCGAAGTATATGTTGCTAATGACGCTCCATTCTTTTGATCCTTTAATTGCAATTCGTAGCCTGCGAACAAAAATAGATAATGAGAATTTGAAAATACTAATATTAAAATGATAATCATATTTTATAAAAAAAACTCGAAAGTATACTTACACTCACTTTGAGTAGAGCAGTCTATAGCGATATGTTTTTTGATTGCTTTATTTTGATCGCAAGTTGCAGCTGTCAAAACTGTTGTTGCCGTCACTGGGCCCATCATATTCGATGCATTTGTGGCGGTTATCGCTGTACTTTTCGTCAGATTAGGCCTTACGGTTGGGCGCACATTTCTTTCAGGTCGGATTAAAATAATGTATAGCTGCGTGTATAAACAATACATTATTATGATAAATTAAGCAAAAACCAAAAATCAATTTATGCCCAGTGATTCGATAATTAAAGTTCCACTTTATTTTTTTTATATAAAAAACAGAATTTTAAGCTAAATTTTATTTTTCAGAAATTATGTTTTCGTCGAGGATTTTAAAAGAAATATTAACAAAAATACAAATCTTTAATATTCTGCATACATTGCAACTGTATTCATTTGAATTTAAATCGAGATTTTTTCAAATACTAGGCATAATATATTCGAGATTCCAAAATTGCGATAATCTTGTAATCCAGAACGTTCATTTTGAAATACAAGCATTTTTAAATATTCAAGCTTTAATAATCAAGCTTTACCTTTGGACTGAAGAGACAAACCACCGTTACAGACGCAGAAAGACTGATTGTGACCGACATCGAAGTAATTCTCAATGCAACATTGCTTCCGGTACCGTAGTACAAAGGTATGAAAGCACACCATATAACGCACGTCGTATACATTGTTAAACCTACATTAAAGACGTGTTTCTTAATGACGCTGTTCTCTTCGTTAAATAGTCGTTAGGTACAAAGGATGCAATATTTTTCAGCTAATCTTTTTCGTACTATAATTACGTTGTAATTGCGTGACCGAATTCATTAGTTTTACAATTCGATCAATATTTTCTTTATTTTTTTATATAGTTAGAATATATATCGACCATAATGCATTGTTGTATTTGCATATTGCAAATAAATATTGTAAAATTAAAGTTTTCCATTATTATTTCGAATCTTTATTGAAGTATTTAATTTAATTATAAAAGAACAGCACATAATATGGTATAAATATTTATAAAAATATGCTTAACGTGATATATGTGCGAAACAGAAAAATTAAACTTACCAATGTGCTTGCTCTCGTTGAAGGCTTCTGGAATCTTTCTCGTAAGGACGGCATAGACAGTGCACACGACTATTAATATTGTAGGATACGCGAACGCGATCATATAACTGGCATCGATATAATTGTTGCAAACAAGCAAATTGTCCTCCATCGTGGGATAATGATGCATAGCTTTGGCGGGATCGATGATTATCCATATTCCGGTAATTAAGATTTGCACTAATATTAATCCAACACAGATAATAAGTTGTGATCGAGGTGATATGAAAGATGGTCTTTTCGCGCTTCCGGCATTGAAGATTCTTGAGATTCGATTGGTCTTTGTTAGTAATGCCGCATATACTACTGTGAAGCAGAAGCCTGCGGCAAATCTGTCAGCAGAGATATAAAATTATATCTTCGCTTTTTCTTAACAAATATTCTTTTAATATTGAGAAATGATATTTTCTGTGTATATTTCATGTTTTTAACTGTGTGTGTGTGTGTGTGTGTGTGATTGTATATATAGATTAATATATAAAAATCCAATTTTCTTATTTTTTTATCGAGTTATGTTCGTCTAAATTATTAGACACTGGTTGGATTTTAGACATCGTTTAAAAAAAAATATTTTACTTTTACTATACTAAAATGAGAGGATTACATGAATTATAAAAAAATAAAAAGAAAATTTGAAAGATTATTATGTAAATTTATAAATTATGTAAAACTAGAAAAATTATCATTAAAATTAGATAGTTGTTAATTGCATCATTTTAATTAGATAGTTAATTAATTGCACGAAGATTGTAATTTAGCTATGTATTGATTCTAAAGTAACTTTAACAATTTGTATAATAAGAACAGAGAGATAAACGCTATCACGTCGGAATACTTGTAGAATAGAATACATTCTGAAAGATTTATAGTTATTTACCTTTGAATACCGCAGACAATGTCCGTGGGTCTAAGTATCAAAGTGAATGTGACGAGATAACAGAGTAAAATTCCTGACAGAAGAACATAAGATAATTCTCGTCCAGATGCACGTACAACAGGCGTGTCGTTATGTCTAAAGAAAACGCCGCCGACAAATAGCGTGACCTATTTCCCAAAAGATACGTGAATCAGATGATTACGTATGTCATATAAGATATATGACGCAATTATTGCAGTCAGAGATATAAATTATATTTATTTTTCTTAATATATTATTCTTTTCATTCGAGCTGTCAGCTTTAGAAAATTAGATTATGAAAGATACTAAAAGAAATATTTACCAAAATTCCTGTGGCAGAAAAAGACATTGCACTTATTGCCCAAGCGCTCTCCGGGCGTAGAAATTCTTCCGGAACATCCCGACACATTGAATGAGTCTCATCGGGTAGCGTACCTTGACGACATTGAATACACTGCGTCTCATCTTTGGGATGTCGTATCTATGTTATAAAAAAGGGAGTCAAATAGATTTCCACATATATACAATAGTGAATAGAGCTAATTCGAATTAATATACATCAATTGATATATATATATATATATATATATATATATATAATTGATATTGAATAAAGCAAATTGTAACGCGAACCAATATGTAAAATGGCTTTCCGATGAATTTATTTCAAGATTTAAAATCCTTAATCATATAACCATTCTATTGATATATATATATTCTATTGATATATATATATATATATATATATATATATATATATATATCAATAGAATGGTTATATGATTAAGGATTTTAAATCTTGAAATAAATTCATCGGAAAGCCATTTTACGTATTGGTTTGAATTTATTATTCTGTTATTTTATTATAATTAATTGACAAATTAAAATCGATTTTAGTTTTATATATAAATATATATATTTTTACATATTCCTCTATTTAATAGATATAACAGATATTCAACGAGAACTATATCGAATAAAACCAATATGCAGTATTTTAAAAACCAATTATTACAATTGTGAGAATATATACACAAACATAGATAGGTATTTTTGACTCAAAACTGTGAAAATCTGATATGATGAATCTATCTGTGAAGGTTTTTTAATAAAAAAAGTGGCAAATTAAATTAAAAATATATCGAGTCTAGTAAATTAATTATTTTTAACGACATTGACATACCTGATATTGAGTGCAATTAAAGCAATGCCAGCAGCATCTTTCACCCTCGACATATTTCTTTGCCTGGCCGACCTCACAAGGCAAAGAACACACGCTCTCAGGTGATTGAGGATGCCCGAGTTTAAATTGAATTTCTAAAACACAGATACATGCACGATGACGATGTAGAATACTATAGTACGTTACATATTGTAGTATATGTGTTGTGAAATATGAAAATGAAAGGATTTACCAGGCATATTTAGCCACAGCTCGCCTTCCAGGTATTCACCGACGCGTATCCACTTGTATTTGCCCGGTTCGATTTGCTTGAAATGTATGATGTTGTACCGCGCGGGTCCGTCACCATTCTTGTCGAATCTAAACTTGTCTCCGCTTAGACCTTAAACGTAGTCGTTCGATCGCCTATGAGTACCATGAAAACTTGATCGAGACGTATAAGCAACTAATCACGATAAAAATAGTTTTCACCCTATAATAGAGATATAGCCTTATAGCCTTTTTTATAGCCTTTATAGCCTTTCTAAAATATTTTCTTTTATTTTATTTCATAGATATATTATGTATTTAAATTTATTTAATATTTGAAAACATCACATGAAGTGTTAGGCATCCTATTAATTTATAATATATATGTTCAATGATTAGAATCGATTTCGCCTCTCATAATCTCTTTCAAGAAATCACTTTATTAGCTTACCCTCGAAGTCCACCTTACGCAGATACTGGAGAAGCATTGTTCCCTTAGTTGGTTTCATAGCATCGCATAATCCTGGCTTTCCGTCGCAAAGGTCAAGGTGCATATCTCTAGGAAAAGGAAGAATAGCGCTTTTATCTCAACATTTTCTTGAGAATATTTTCGGGGATATATCTGTCGATGAGTAAATTTTAATTATACCGAAAAGCGTAAGCGAATGCCATTACTGCATCGGAGACAAACTGTAGTTGATCTTCGAAAGCCGTGTTTTGCTTGGTGAGACGTTCTTCCATTGTGCAAGCTTTTGTATATTTTTTGTTGTACGGTGTTCGGGATGCGTTCGGATATCGACATTTGAAGTGATCTTCCCAAAATTCTAAAATTAACGCGAAGGTTTGCATTCGTTACATGTGACAAATGTGTGATAATTTGATATATTATAACTTAGGATGACTTGGCGAAACATATGCTTACGCGTCTTTAAATGTCACGCAAATGAAAATAATAATATTGTATATAATTTTTGCTTTATTGAGAAAACAAAATAACACACATATTGTTAGTTTGCTACTTTGATTGGCAACCAACAACTGCATTGAATGTCGATCTACTTAGAAAATCATATTAAAAGTTTGTCGATATGTAGAGAGAATAAAATCTCAGAACACTTTTCTTATAACAACCGCAAACTTGCGCGTATACAATATACGTGCATGCATATTGCAAAGTTAGAATCGCCAAGTTTTGTTCCCATTCGCGTCCTTCGGCCGTACGCTTACCGACGAACCACGGATTTCTTCGATTATTCTCGACGGTCAAGTTGAGGAAGTACTCTTCGAAACCCTTAACGCGGTTGGCCTGAGGTTGGACCGATAAAGTGCCTTCGACTTCCGGCTCGTTACCGTTACTCACTAATCCTCTTGCACTCCAACCGTCACTTCCGATCCAGGAAAAAGCGCCGGTCGCATTGCATCGTCTAACCGCCCTCATAACCCCGGCAACTTCTTGGTCGGAACCGAAAATAATGCAACCTACGATGACAATACAAGAGTTAGAAGAGCTTCGCGAAAATTTCATCCATAAACGCTGTGCCCTTTTTATCGTCTTATCTCTATTATCGCGGTAATTTTCGCCATTCGGTTTTATTTTATCGCGGAAAAAAGTCATTTTCCCGAAAGCAAAAGGACTCAAGCTTTTATTGAAAAAAATGCCAATGAAATGTCTCGCTCCGCGTAGACGATTCCTGTAGGAATCAAGATAATACAGGATCTGGTAAGAATCGATGAGGGCGTAAAAGAGAGCATAAGGTCGAGCCTGACGAAGCCGAGAATGGTTAGTTACAAAAAGGTCTATAAGGAAATTCTACATAAAATAACGTTTATCGCGAGATGCTTTTTTTTCTCATCGGAATAGATGCTTAAACAATGAAATGTATTGTTTGCTAAAATCATATTTGTTTTTTTTAACGTGTTTTAAATAACATAATTTAAAATAACGAGACATGAGAAATTACGAAAAATTACTTTAAGAAAAAAAATTTTGTAAATATTATAATTTAACTTTTCGGCAATCGTTATGCTTCTCTTTTAAGGATAAAATTATATAAAATCACATACTCAATAAGATTATTGAGTATTTTATATTTACTGTTTATAAAATGCCAAAATATTTTTTCTTATTTTTAATGCACATATTTTGATCTATTAGTATCTCATCGAAGGATATTTTTATAAAATTTATTAAATATGTTAATAAAACAATTTTTGAATACTAGCTTTTTTTTAGTAGAAAAGTATATTTGAAAATGTGAGCTCTTTATCAAAAATGTTGGTAGAAAGTTACGCAAGTATGAAAGATTCGAAAAGTCACCAAGGGATTTCAAGGTTCAGTACTATGTTGAATGGATTAAATGGATGAAATGTTTATTCACCCGAGATAGTAAAGAAACATCTTTGCTCGTCAGATGGAGTTGTTAATCTTTATTTCTCTGAAATAAGATTATTTCAGAGTGTGTTTTCATTTCAGTGTATGTATAAAGTGTTATATAATTAATTGTACTTCTTGTTATTGTATGCGAATTGAATATATATGAAAAGAGAGTTATCCGGCAACGTCATAATTTTTATATGTGCTTCTTACAACCATTTTCACTCTGTATTATTTCTCATTTTGCGTCTACGAAAATAGCAACATACATTTGCTCGTTTCTCTGCTATCCATATTTGAATTTCCTCATGAATTTACATCGAAGGATTTAAATGTTTTCTTAGCCGTGCATGTAAATACGTTTCGATGTTAGTTATGAACGATATAAACATAATGTAAATTATAAACGCAATTTCTGCTTATATAACTAATTACACAAATGTAAAATATATTATATTTCTAGTCTGTGTAATCATGCAAAGTTTAATTTTATTTATCTTAACTCATAAAGCAACTTTTAAATAAACTTTTAACATAACATTGCAAATTTGATATTATTGTAATTTGATATTATAATTTTACATATTTTTACATATGTTATTTTATTTTTCTTAGAAATCTCTATGAATATTAATAACTTAATTAAGGATTCTTCATTGATTTAAATGAATTCCCAAAGCTGATATCAATATCGGTTTTTTTAAAGGCAAGATCATTGAAAATGATATTTAAAAAATCGTTTGATTTATTGCTTGTATTATATGAAATATTTTGTTTTTTTTAGTAGTTAGTTGGGGCGTGTGTGCGCGCAAACATTCCATTAAATCTATATAAATTAAATTGCACTTGATATCCATCCGACTTACAAAGAAAGCCAGTGATTTAGGGTTCGTTCGCTTTGGAAGATCTTAGGAAGAAATTCGAGAGTTAGATGAGTTCTATAGATTTTCAACAAGTTTCGGACAAAGTGCTATTTGCGAAGTAAGTTGCGTTTCCATTTCGTTAATGAACCCATTTCGTGATTCTGACACGAATCGAATGAAATTCGGAGTCTTTTATATGTTCATCATCGATACTATTTTGCAATCCTATATTTGCAGATTCATTTATATTTTGACATTTATGTGGATTAAAAGGGCAAAATTGTATAAAAGGATAAATTATCACAATGCGAAAATTCTATCTCTTTCCTTCCCTCCCTTTTTTTTTTCTTCCTCTCTCTTAATAAAAATTTAAATTTAAATCCTTTTTAATGTCATTCAATTCACCAAGGAGAATATTATCGGAGAAATGCCGATTAAGATTTCAATGCGGTTTACTTACAGACTGGTATATGGATTTGTAATTTAGGAGAAAAGTAAAAAATAGAAGGAAAAAGAGAGAAGGGGAGGGTAGAAATAGTTTATTACGTTGGCATAACACTTCTTAGAAAGGCGCATATCAAAAATTTTATATTATAGGTATATATGTGTGTGTATGTTGTGAGTATATGTATGTATGTATGTATGTATGTGTATATATATATATATATATATATATATATATACATACGCATGCATGCATATATACATTGTTTATGCATTAATTACAAGAGAGAGAAAAAAATATAATTTTTATGTTTTTTTTTCTACTTGCATATTTCTTTTTGTTTTATTAGTCCCTATCTTACCTTTTGCTCGTGGTTTTGTCAGCAACTTCAAAACGATATTATCGTAGGCGATCTCCTCAGCAACTCCAGAATCCTTTACCAACTTTTCTTTGATGGCGATACATATGTTATGTTTTCCAAGCAACTCCTCGAGTTCCTCAAAAGCCTGCAACACAAAAGAATAGAAAAAGATGCATTTTGTTGAAAACGTTTCCAATAATACATTGTATCTAATGCTCGCTCGTGGTCTTTATCGAACAGAGTATGCAACGCTTTGAGATCTTTTAGAAGAAAAATGGACATAGCACAGAATGAATATAAGAGTGGGAAGAAAATGTGCCTCAAAAATACAGACTTAAATGAAACATCTAAAGATTCTCTTTATATAAAAATCATGATAGAGGTAATATACATACATGTAACAAAATTCGTATTGGCGAAAACGTGAGCATATGCAATTATTATTATAGTGCAATTGTTATTCTGCTTAGAAATAGTACATTTAATAACGATTTTTGTTGAAAGTGTTAGATATGTTAAACGATCTTTTAATTCGAATTTACATTTATATTAGATCACAATGAGTATCACAATACTGCACTGAGAAAAAAATCTGATTGCATTATTTAGAAATCTGGTAGATTCAACCTGTATCTGTTGGAAAATAAGCGAATCAGAATTCCTCTAGGAATTACCAGATGAGTATAAGTAATTTCTTCCTATTAAATTTGCCAAATTTTTTTGGTAATAATACTAAATTTACAAAAAAAAAGCATCATTGTGTCCATGTTTAGTTAATGTAATAAAAAGTTTTATAGGTCCAATTAGAAAGCATTAATCAAATCCTTGTAGTAAAGTCTATTAAATGTTTTAGTTATAAAAAATCGAGTCTTGTGATAACTAGAAATTTTGCTTAGTTTAACCAAAATGCCTTTTATCAAATACATCTTGTTAGTACAATCAAACGATTTTTCTCAATGTAGTTGTCATATTTTCATTATCTTTTGTCATCATCGTCATTTTATATTCTTGATAGAGACATTCGTTTTTTCTTTATAGATATATAAAATTAAAAAATTGCTTTATATAATAATTAAAAAATTGCTTTATATAATAATTGAAAAATTGCTTTATATAATAATTGAAAAATACGTGAAATATATTTTAAATTTACATTATTGAGTTTCTTTCATTGCATTGGTCATAAAATGAATCGTACAATTAACTTCCGTAGTTAGATTCCGATAGTTATGTAGAAAGACTCCGTTACTTTGTCAGACAAATGGATATTCGTAATAAAAATCCCCATTTGTTCCGTGCTTTTGGCTTTCGATTGCTCGTTGAAAAATGTTCCCCTCGTGCCACGAAATCATATATATATACATATATATATACGTATATATATTTGTGCGCGTGTGTATTTGCGCGCGCGCGTATGTATGTGCTCGTATCGATTCGCTTCTCCTAGACTCTCTCTACGCGCATTTTTCGTATGCGATCCGTGTGCCGAGTTGAAATCGCTGATTTCCAATCCCATTGCGAATGGCATTATCGATTGATCGCGTCATCATACGGAAAAACATACTTACACATGAATGTGGCATCTTTTCTCTCATACTTTTATGCATTTTTTAATATTTCTCAAAAGAATGAGTTTATAAGTTTCTATAATAAGTTTAAAAGTTTTTAGGAGTTTATGTGTTCTACAAATAATGAGTTTATAATTTTAAAAAATCAAAATTTTTTTACTTTTTATTCATCTTGAAAAGCGATTTTTAGTCTGTCATTATAAAATTTGCTCAACTGTTTGATTGTTAAAATCATACTGCTTTCACTGTGAATAATCTTACATATGTCCAGCAATTATATTAATTGTTGACTGATTGGTAAAGTAAAAAGTTGAATTATAGAGTTCATCATTACTACATGAAAGATATTAGAATGAATGTGAACTTTTCTTTTGAAGAATAAACAAAAGGATCATTAATATAGTTAAAAATTTTATAAGCTATTACATATTTAGAGAGAGAAATTTATAGAATTAAAAATAGAAAAACTTACATTTCTCTAAACAATATATAAATATAAAAAAATGTGATAAACAAATTATATAAAAAAATATGAAGAATAATTTAATAGAACTAATTATATTATAAAATAAGAATAATTAAAATATTAAAACTAAATTTTAAAGTTTTTATATAATCAATAAAAATATTTTCTAATATTATATAATTAAAAACTCGATGAAATATATTGATAGAATCAAAAACAAAATTAAAAAATATTCTTGCTCAAAGAGCAATTTATGTTTGAGAAAAATTCTCTCTTTTTCTCTCTCTCTCTGTTTTCCTCTTTTAAAGAGAAAAATATCAAAATCAGTATTAGAATCATTAAAGACACATTTTTTATTTTCTATCTTTTAAAATAACAATAATAAAATATCTATTATAAAATAAAAAAAGATATATATTGAATTTGGAAATTTAGTATGAATTATTCTCCAGTTAATACGGATCATTCGCATGTTCAATGCTTGACGAGTTACGATAAAATTATTAGTTAAATTATCTGGCTAGAGAGAGTATAGTTAAAGGCATAAAGTTCCCAAGTATTGTATATATTATATATGCAAAGCATGGTCCTTCCTTCATTATTATAGGATGTTGTTGGACATCATAATGCTAACCCTTGTTTCGGCACGCGCGAGAATTGAATTTGGCTGCGCGCGTAAATGCCAATCTCATGGTATTAGAAGACGCTCCGTTATTTGGAGGTCAAGCATGAAGCCGAGAACTCTCGAATCATTTGCGTGTCTTGCTGAACATTTATCAAATTCATTTATATACTGGTTCCGTTATATTTATGACGTTGCGAATTCGAGGTAATGTTTTGTACTGTAACAAGGAGATTTGAAATCATTGTTTAAGAAAGCTTTATGTTTCATAATAACTGTAACTCTCACATTTATTATTATTTGATGAGATTTCTATCTCAAATTTTCCAATTTTTCAATATAATACGAACAAAATATAAATAAATAATTAGATATAATTAGATATATATAAAATCAATAGGTAATATATAATTCAGAAATCAAATGCATTATTGACTGAAAAATGTGGAAAAGTGTGTGTACGTGAAGGATATTTCACAGTTGAAAATTTTTGGATACGAGCGGGATCGTCAAAAAGATAAGATGATATCTCGAGAAAATAGAAGAGAAGAAAGTTTAGGGAGAGGCTACGCGGATTTTTCGCAGTTCTTAAATATTTATAAGGCTAAAGATCTTTTCGTATTTTGAACTTTTCGGTATATCTTTATTCTTCATACATATTTATGATTATTATATTTCGCGGATTCTGTATATGTCGTTATATATTTTGTTGTACTTTTTACATTGCGAATAGCGCGGATATAACATAAGTAAAATCAAAGAATCTGCAAACTGGAAAGAGTGGAAATCATCGTTTCATTCGTCATTCACGTTATATTCAAGTTTCATCAAGTGAAAAAAGTGTGTTCTTGCAAATTTTCTAGAATATAGATTAAGTACTTTTGATATCAAATATCTCGAGATATTTTTTTTCTTTACTTTGGTTTATTTCGTGTCATAAATTTCCATAGCTTGCGTGTAAACACATCATTTTAGGAATAATTTAGTGCTCTTTCAATAGCGTTCCTTAAATACTGCAGAATTATTCCGGAGGCTTTTTAGGATATTATACGTGCAAACAAAACTGCATCCGGCACTCAATTAATTTCCGATTCTTTAATTCCCTAATTTCCGGCATATTGATAATATCGATAATTGCAACCATACAAGATTGATTGTATTATGTAGAGAAACTTTAATAATGTTCTGTGTTTTTTATTTTATCTCGTTCGAGGCAGAATATACTATTATAAATTCCATCAAAAATTCACGCGCAGAGATAATCATTACGCATATAATAGTAGTGGAACTTTGATCGGTTGGATAACGTCATAATGTAAGTTTTTTTTTAATTGTCCAGTTATTACAACTTTACTCTTTTAAACTGAATCAATAAAAAACAGATTAAATAAGATTTCAGAAACGGTGAAATACTTATTGATCTTCAATGAAAACATTTACACTTCACTCTACAGTTTTACATTTCACGGTTTTATGTTGATTATGGAAGTAATATTTCATTAAAAAATTAGCTACTATTGAATTCTTCTGTGATATTTCTTCTACTATTGGATTCTTCAGTGAAATTTCACTGTTTTTTCAGTGCTATATTTAAAATTAAAATCATTGATTAGTGATATTGTTCTGATCCCATTTAAGAAAACATGAAAGATATAACAATAGATTAAAATGTTATTTTGCTGTACTTTCCAAATAGAACTGTATCGCTACGTGTCGCGAACATATGTCTGTGAGATTTAATGCAGGCGGATATCGATCATTGCGTTTTGCTCGCAAATGCAACAATTGTGTGATTAATGCTATATGATCGCATAAATTTGACGCCTACTGTTGCGCGCTATCGTATTATTTCTCACGGTTGTTAAACTTCTCTTGCATTTCAAAGCGAATGTTTTTGCGAACCTAATCTGCTTAATGAATATAATTAAAATGAGCATTATTTTAATGAATGAAAATTAAAAAGATACTATACGAATGAATAAATATATGTATATGAATTACTTTCTTGTCTACGTTTTGCGTCAAAAACTGTTAAATCTTGTGTTATTATACGACACAATCATATGCGTATATATCATAATCGTATGTTTATGTGTTGTTATCGTGCTGTTATACATGCTATATTAGTTAAGTATATCACAATGATATAGTATAGCGAGTGCTATGATTATTGCTGTTATCATATTTTTACTTTTTTGGCAATCACTATATATTTCCAAAAATTATTCGTTTTATTCTTTCAGAAATCTTTCTTTAGTATATATTGCTTTAGATTTTTGGTAATTCAATAGAAATAAGAAGATTAAAAAAGGCTAAAATATTGATTTAGCCTGATATTGTTGAAATTTTTATTATAAAACTGCATTCACATTTTTTGATTAAATATTGAGGTCTTTTTTTTATTTTTTTTTTTTATTATTTTAGATATAATAATTTGTAATAATTCTCGAATATCTCAAATTTTTTGTTCTATATTTTATTATAATGTAGTGCAAATGAGAAAATTTTTGTTTCATTTGTGTCGTTTTGTATTGTAGAAATACATAATTGTAGATACTTTAACTATTAAGAGATGATTATCTGAATCTTAATATCTCTGTATTAAAAGAATTGCGTACTTCTGTTACGCGATTATGAAAATAGCTGAATCTTTTAAACATATTCTCTGTATACTTACAATTTCTTAATATTTTCGTAATATTTTCTTTTTGATGTAATAATAAAACATCATTTTTCTGAATACGTTTTTGAAAAATATTATGTTTCACGTTAAGATTAAGATGGATCATTTTCATATTAGTTTTCTAGTTGGTCGCGGATAAATGCCGAGAACGAATTCATTACAGACATAATAAAGAAGAACAACCGCATGCATCTTATGTATTATGTATAGGATATACACATATTGTGGACCATATTTTGTGATAAAGTGTCACGGAAAAGACGTTTATGCATCTTTCATAACGTAAGCGTAATCGATTGAGGATAACGATTGAGGACAACGCATTCTTATAATAAAAGCTACAAATGTCGTTAGTTATTATTTCCCGTTATGGGGTGTTATTTCGATATATTTCTCAATTATATTCTCATACTATAAACGTTAGTTTTCTCAAATCGAAAGCGGATGAGCAATTACGTACGGTATATCCTATTAATGAGTAGCGTTCTTTTATACTAACTCGACATTTATCGTTATCATATAGCTAAGCCGTAGAGCTGCCTTGCTAGGAGATTTTTTTTTTCAGCTATAATTCTTCGCGATTACGTCTAAATCCGTTGTTGCACTTTTCTCTCTTTTATTATTTTTTTCTTTTTTTTGGGGGAAAGGATTGCTCTTGCGTCTTCTTTCTGTCGTATAATTTGCGCGATTATTTTCTTTGCATGAAACTTATGCAAAATTCATTCTTCTCCCTTTCTTTCTTTAACACTAAACGATAATTAAAAGCAAAAATATACTATTTATTTCTTTGATAAATTAATAAATCCGATTTTTCTTCTATATTATTATTTCGATGGAATTATTTACGTGATTTCCGTAACAGTATATTGTCATAACACATTAATTACTATTTATTCTGCTATTGAAAAAAACAATTCGATGCAATGAATAATTTGTAACAAAAATTCGAACATAAAAATTAGGATATTAAGATATTTGTGTAGATTCTTTATTCAATATTTTATAACCAACTATATAGATTATAAATTTCATATATATGGCTACATATTAAATTCATTTATGAGAAAATCATATAAAGCATATCAACATTTGATATGGATTAGAATATTTGATATGGAGCAATTAGATGCGGAACAATTAGATGCGAATATCATATGCATTATTAAATGCATATAACTAATTTAATAATTATAAAACGATCATTGATAGTGATTTCGTTGCATCATTTAGGATTTTGGAATATAATAATATCAACATTTTGAGTAAAGTGTCGATATTTTCAAAATGATAAATTGTTAGCAAGACACGCGAATACACATCTTTTTTTATAAGGTAATAAAAAACTAGCTTTTTTATTAATAATTTAAAAAAAATTTTTATTGATAATTAATATATATATATATATATATATTAATTTATACAAGAGTTTACAGTTCAAGGTATTTATTCATTTTTTAAATCAGTATCTTGCATAATTTAATTATCTGTTAAATTTATATTTCTTTTTATTTACTTAGCGTTATGTAAAACAACAACTCGAGACTTATTACAAAGTTAAGTATCTTAATAGCGAGTAACTGAGACATAATCCGTATGTATATTAATTTTTTATAGTAATCTAAAAAAATGAAAAAGAGAAAGAGAGAGAATGCCGGGATGTAATGCTTTGATGAGAAAATAAGATGAGTCTTGCGATATTTTCTAAATTATTATTATGAATATCGGGCAAATGAGAAACAATGATTTTCACATAATGGTTAATACGATTTGCATAAGCAAAGCGTGATGTGAAATTTAGTAGATCGAAATCACATATGCGCGATATTATAAATTGTTATAATGGATCGTGTTGACGAAGAAAGCTCCATTTCACTTGCCATTTATTTTCGTGTTTATTCTTTGGAAATATTATTTGTCGATCCGTCTATCAAACTATGTAGTCATAAAAAGCTCTATTTAAATGAAACAACTTTCAAATTAATATATTGTTTGTATAATTTTGGCTATATAATTATAATTGTAATTGTCATAATGAATATATCATTGATATCTGACACTTTTATAAAAAATTTTAAATTATTATAATTTAAATTGCAGAATATCTAATTATGATTAAAAGGATTTATTTCTATTAATTTAATGTTATGTGCTACAAACATTATTATAAGATCTATTTTTAAAGAAAATATGATCTTAAAACATTTATATCAAAATTCTCTTACATTAAAAATTTTCTAGCTTTGATATAAAACACTTTCTAAATATTACTATGCAATTAATTAAAAGATTGTAATATTATGTAACAGTTGTGATTTTTGAATTATTTATATGATGTATGTACAAAGCCATTAAGGAACTTTATTTATTATGATTTTACATTAATTTATTTAATATTTATAACTATTATATTTTATGTATAAATATTTAATTTAGCTTAAAAGCTTTGCGAAAATAGGATTGTGTAGTAATAATATTGAATTGAAATTACTTCATATTATATGAGCATAAAATATAATTTTTAATATAAAAATTATTTTCATATATATATATATATATATATATATATATATATATATACATACATACATACATATTTGAATATACACAATTTGCAAAGTCAATCATTCATAATATTTATATCACATTTGTGAGAAAAATTACCAAGGTTTTAATATCAATTAAATGGAAAGATATATAATAAATGAAAATTGATAAAAAAATATGTTATGCGCGTATATACACATATATTCCGAAAGATATAATAAATGCATGTATACATGATGATAATAGTAATAATAATGAAACTATGTAGTATACTTGCGTTTCACGCAAATTTTATAATTAAATACTGTCCAAGAATCTAACACAGAAAATTACGATAGAGTACATACCTTTATACCATAGTTACTTTCTTCGTAAATGATGGAAACGTAGCTCCAGCCCATCGTCAATACAATATCGACCATCGCTTTGACTTGATAGTGATCGCTAGGTATGGTACGAGTAAAATATTCGAAGCGTTGTTTGTTGGAAAGCTCGGGACTTGTTGAAAAAAAGGAGACCTACAACAATAGGCAAATTTATTTTAAATTATTTACATATATAAGGAAATTGTTACATATTTTTTATAATGTTGGATATATAATTAATTAGCATCAATCATCGCAATGTAAAATCTCTGAATCTATTTTACGCTTATGTTATTTACACAATAGAAGAATTTTACATTATTTTTTATATAGTGAGATAATAGAACAAAACGATAGAGTGCATTAATGTATTAATTAATAGTATTGTTGTAATAAATAAAGAAATTACAACATTTTAAAAACATAAACAAAAAATGTTTTATAAAACTTGTACACACACGTTGATATAAATAATTTATAAGATAATTTTTTTTTCGTATGACACATTCCAAATTGTTATGTCAGCAGTTCAAAGAGTATAAAATTTTGGAAAAGCTTTTCCATCGTTTTTATTTTCCATTTCCAAATCTTATCCGAAATATTAAAACGTCAAAAAGTATCTATTTTTTTAAGATTGGCCTTTGATTTTCAAATCTATTAAAAAACCGATACCAAACTCTTTATGGCGTCGTACATTATAGAATACCAATATTTGCGTAGGTATTGGATAATTCTATTTCTAATTGCGAGTGAGCAACTGTATCTCTGGTTAAAAGCAAAGTAAACTTGAATCCTCCTGGTCGACGTTTCTGCTGGTCCTGAAACCGACCGAGAAAGTGAAATCGTGTAATTTAATGATTGTCAGAGAATCACACGTAAACTTGTGTATTTTTCTTTAAAGAGTCTGTTCAAAACGGTTAATGATGCGAAAGCAATTAATTATATATATATATATATATATATATATATATATATATATATATATCCTTGAAACTTCGTAACAATGGCTCTTTCACTTATATCTTTCTGGAGCTTTCATTTATATATATATATATATATATATATATATATATATATATATAATTTATATCGTTTGCTGCTCTTTAAAGCGATTCATACTACCATTATCGGAAAGTTAAATACCATATAGTGACACAAAATTTCACTATTTTTAAGGCATCTCAAAGATGCAATATACAAGAATTTTAGTATTCAAGCTTACAAAATACAGCGTCAAAGCTCCAAAGAGATATAAGTGAAAGAGCTATTGTTACGAAGTTTAAAGGATTCAAGAATTCAACAATGTAAGAGTTCAAAGACTGAAAGATTATATAATCTCAAAACTTAAACAGTTACAGAGATCGAAAGATTCGAAAATTAAAGTTCCATAAAATTGTGAACTCTTAAAGAACAAAGTTTAAAGAATCTAATAACGTAAGATATTCAAGAAACAGTAAAATCAAATATATCTAGCTGTCTGACAGTCTAATATTTGGAGATCATTCAAAACGACTTATTCACGAGTTTGAAGATTTGTAGAGTAACAAGAGCACAAATTTAATCTCTCTTGAAGGACAGAGCATTCAGGAAACGATAATGGTTGTACATAAAGGACATCATTTATCTAAATCATATATTTCACCGTAACATTTCATAATAAGTTTTACCATCAGTCTGTCGTTTATCTATGGACCAAGTTCTCCCCTCTTGTGTTTCTATACAATATCCTATATTTGCTATTCTGTGGTGACGCTTATCGAAGAAAAGGCGATTTTGGGTTAGTCGCATACGGCAACAAGAATGATTAATTATCTTTTCATCGTGTAGGCGTAAAACGATTCCTTCGAGATCAATTCGATGATACAATCGCGTTAGAGAACTTTGACGAAGATGTACTAACTCTTATGATTATCATACTAGTAAATTTTCCACACACATTGACGTTTCGATTTTCATATTGCTATTTCGTAATGGAATTGCACTGTGAATCATTGAATATAAATGAATAGCTCAAACTAAAGCACTCAAATTTACATTATTCAATTTTTTTATTATAATTTATTATATCTTTAGTATCTAAGATTCTTTTTTATATTCTATAACAGAACTCTCGCGTGAGATTGACGATTTTGCTTGCCCTCGATCGCCGTTCGATTTGTCTTAGCTAGTAACGAGTTTTTTTTTCAAAATGTTTGATCTGTGCTAGCAACATCGATGCTTACGCATCGTATGAGTTTATGTAGTGAGAAACGAGGCGGCGTTATCTCACGCCACGAGGGTGCGCCAACGCTATTTTTCTTCGGAACAATGCGCGTCCCATGTATCGCGGTTGGTGCATGCCATGGCGAATATATTTATCGCGATTTGTCAGATTCGGAATGGCTACTATCGACTCTGTGAAAACTTGCTTGTCCAATCATATAAATATCAAGTCGCATCGATGGAAAATTTAAGCTCGACTCAATCCACTAGGTCGACTTGATCGATTGGTTATATAGCGTCCGCAAATTTCTTCGCTCGCTACGCTGAGATGAAAATATTGGTGAAAAATAGATCTATGTGGAATATTTATGAGTAGAGAGTGAGAAGTTCCGATATTAACTATTTGTGCATGATCCAAAAATTCAAAACTTTGAAATTATTTTTTCCTTTTTTTTAGCAGTGAAAAATTTTAAATTTAATAACGCTTAGAGAAACTATGGAAATTTATTAATCTGTTATTGCGACAGATAAGAAAAAAGAATGAATATATTTTAATTAATATTATATATATATTTTTTTTGCCGAAATGTACAATATTACACGATGTGACAATTACGTTTGTATCGTTGATTAGATAACAATAATACGAATATTAAGAAATAATAGGTCATTTGATTAAACTTTATCATTGATATAGAGAATTTAATTATATATGGTTAAATTTTTCGACACAGTTTTATATTGAAAAGGTAAAACTCAAATAACGTGTCACTTACGTTTTATTGTTACTTGCGAGTTAATTGTGGATTGTGTAATACTAATGCAGAATTCTGAATGTTTGCATTTTTTACCATGATCATTTTATCATTTCTAAGGTTCGTACCGTTGTACCCGGTTCTTTTGTAGAACCTAGAAAACGATATTATCGTTAATTGAAATGAACCGGCTGCGCCCAAACCGCGTGAAATTGCAAGTCCTACTCGCTACGCCGCTAAAATGAAATAAGAGGACAGTTCTCTCGAATTATTCGATACATTTATCTTAATACTTTATAACAATATTCAGTCCTAAAGAGGATTTGATATGTTTTATACATCAATGTTAATAATTCGAATCATTACCTTTAATCATAATTACAATTTATATTAAATTGTATATAATATAATATCTCGATATATAAATGGATAATTTTTTTTATCTCTATCAATTTTCGGATCAATTGCATCGTAATTAAATATGTCTAAAAATCTAATATATTACTTAGTACACTTGAAACTAATTATATACATTTTTATGTCACATATAATAAATTATATATTACATGTGTATGTGACTAATTTTTAGTGTTTTAATATAACAATGACATCAAAGAGAATTTTTCAATGACTACGTTTACACGGCTTCTAACTTCGATTTAATAACGCTAATGTTATAACTCCTATTTAAAGTGAGTTGTGTTTATACGTTCAAGCTTATCCTATCCCAAGCTAAAATAACTTAATAACTTTCGAGTGAAGTGAGTCCAAGAAATGATACTAATGAAGTGATTTGACTAAATTTGCAAACAAGAGAGAGTTAAGATATTTAATTTTAACGCATTATTGCCAACCGTTACACTGCGGCCGTTTACACCCCCTTTTTACATCGATGTAGTAACGCTAAGCCTTTTCGCCAAACGACTTTGAGTTACTACATCGATGTAATGTAAACTTCATCGTAAAAGAGCGTTTACACGGCATCTAACGTCGGTAGTTATAACATGAATGTTATAACTTCGGCGTAAATCAAATTGTGTAAACGTAGTCAATGATTATTTATCGTAAATCACATAAAATATTCAACAATAGATTGGGTAACGATAAAAATGCTAATGTACGACGGCCGAAGTTATAAAGTTCGGTTAATTAAAAAATGTTATGACCGATTATAAATGTACTTTTAATCGGATAATGTAAATCGCATCCTTCTAAAGTCTTCATAAATTGAATCCAATTACTTTCTTCAGAGATTATTTCTAGATGATGTCACACACACAAACGCGTCAAAAGTATTTTTTTTATATTTCTACCGAATTTTTATCCCTAAAGTTTCGCATTCTCCTTCCTATCTCTTGCCAAAAGTGTGCCAATCGAGAAGTGACGGAAGAATGGTTATCAATCATTATTCAAATTCCAGCTGCGACGTCGACAGCATATTTCCAAGCGGAGGAAATTTTGTATGAGCGATGTAGGGTCTTGACAAGATGCGATTTCATTTATTTAGTTCACGTGACTTGAGCTCGCGTCGCGCGGCTTATGTCTTGAATCTCGATCGTAATCCTACGAGCTTCAACAGTCCTAGCAACGACGACGAACCACTTACAGAAATTGCTGCTGAGCGTTTTCTTTCCAACTAATTCGATACGTGAAAACCGTGACTAAAATTTATGACGAGAATACTTGATACGATTAAAGCTATTCTACTTCAATTGAATAGTAATAATGAATGAGGAATGGCTATTGTAATAGATTCTAATCGATTAGAGTGTGTTAACTGTAATGTGAATTTTTCTTTCAACAATAATTAAAAATACATAAATATTGTAAAAGTTATAATTTTATAATTCTTGTAAAATATCATAAAATTTTCGAAATTGTATATAAATCAATTCGTTCAATCAAACACGTTTCTCTTTACACACACACTTTTAACTCTTATTTTTTATTTCTATTAAAAATTTGATACTCAATAATAGAGGTATAAAAGTCGATAATTGTAATTTAGATTACCTCTCATAGCATTACCAACATGAATCTTTGTACGCGTGTGTTATTGAATTCTGTGAGCCGGCTCGTGTTCGCTTGTCGATCAAACTGCGAAACGTATATATGTATATGCACGGAATACTGATTGACACGAATAGCGAAGCTCCCTTTGACGCGTATGCACTTTCCGCTTATAGTGCTTATGCAAGGTGTTATGCCTATGTTTCTATGTCGATCGTACGTCATCGTGCTGACAAGTTGTGGAGAAATCGTTTAGCTAAGCGGTCGTCCGCAGCCGCTCCAGAGCGTGCGTAAGCGCGACGAGCAACGATACTGATGTGAGTTGCGTTTAACATGATGAATAATATATTCTCCGTTGCGAGATACTGCTATGAAAATACATCCTTTATGTTGTAAGCGAGAACGTACTTTGAGCGACGCGAGGAGCACATCATATTAATTTTTCTCCATTTTTTTCAATTTTTTGTTGCGTTACTGTAAATACAAAATTTATCTTAGACGTATAAATAATATTTTCATACAATATTTTCAAGAGAAATTACATAATTATCACGATGCCTAAAGTGTGAACTTTATTATGTTTAGTAGAAACGTATGTGGCATATCAGAGTTGCAAGATTGATTATTCTTAAATGATGAAATGTCATTCCTGAAGGTAAAGTTAATAATCGAAATGCGTTTTCTGTCATTTTGGAGAAGAGGTCGACTTTAATCAGACCGTACCACGAATCGCTGCGAAAGTGACAAAGATCGAGCGTTTTTCGATCTTATAGAAGCGTTATGAATATGGATAAAGTAAATTGCTAGCTTGCATGAGAGAAAAATATGCTAAATTTATGGAATAAGTGATACTTGTCTTTTTTTGATTAAATAGAAGTATCATCAAACAAAAAAGAATGTTATGCTATGCAAATATTTATAACATTCTAGTTTAAAATATTAAATGGATTAATGATAGTTTTCTTGATCAGATTATGATAAGTGATCAGATATAATAAGTTACAAATCTGAGAAATTGATATTTTAAATATTCGTTATTTAATTTAAATATTAACTTAACAATCTGTGTTGTCTTGTAAATGTTATAATATATATAATCGCGAATAATTGATTTGAAATAAGTAAATTTTATTAGAAATTTCCTCCATTCGATAAAATAATGACAAAAACATCAATTTTTTGTAAGAATGTGCTTCTTACATCGATTTTGGTCTTTCGATCGATGTCTTTAAGCAAAAGTATGAAATTGTCTGAGTCGAAAAATTCATAAAAGTTTGCCACTTTTTTTCGGAATATTATGCCATGAGTAAAAAGCGATCTCAGTTCATGTCACATACATTCTCGAACAGTTTCCTAGTTTAACGCAACGTAGACGCGACAAGTTTCATAAGACTGAGTTTAACAGATGCGACAGGCAGAAATGAGTACGAAAAGAAATATCTTGTAATATAGCAAATATAAGTTTTTTAATTAACTAGTAACAATCTTAATAAATAAATACGATTACTATGTCAGATTCACACAGTTACAATTTCTATCAAGAAATTATAAATTATAAATTTTTTGTATTTAAATAATATTAGTTTTTCATTATAATGATATTTTTTTATTTTTTGATTAATTAAGTACTTGACGGTAATATACTAGGAAATATAAGTTGTCAAAGTTAAATTTGAGTTTCTTATTTGAGTTTCTTATTTGTTAAATATTAATGTATATTTTTTTAATGTAAATTTGTTTTTTAAATGTGTTTTATATATGTAAAAATTATATAAATAATATTTAAATAATATTAAGAATGCTTTATAATAGATTCTTCGAATTAATCAATGCATCACTTTAATAATAAAAAATTCACTAATTTATAAAATTTTGTAAAAAGAAAATCTTTTATGTATATATTTGTATATTATTTGTAATTCTAAATTGTATATTATTTGCAATTCATTATTTTTATATCTATTAAGATATATATTTGTTTTATCAGAATTTGAAATGTATTGATATATCCGATGTTTTTATATATCTGATTTTTTATTTTTTTTATACAAATACAATTTATGCATTTCACATAGTTGATTATTTCCGTTAACTTATGAAAGCAGATCATGTTGCATGTTTGTTTCGCAAATTCCCGCGTTGCATCATAGAAATAGATAGAGAATCTCACCGCAGAAATGAACTAAATTAAATCCATTGCCGTTTTCCTAGACTTATATTCTGTCTGATCCTTTCACGTCTTTCCCTGAAATCCTTTCGCGAAATCTCTTTCAAACTCCGCCGCCGTGGATTTTCAGAGGCATGAATCGACGACAACCGAGTTTTCGCCAAGAAATCGCTCTTTGCTTTAGTCCTCTAACTCATATGGAAAAAATTCCTATATATAAATTACACACATACACACTACTTTTCACTATTCAACGTTCCAGTTCTATATTGTTTTTTTGATTTTGTTTTTAATCATTAAAGAATTTAATTAATAAAATATTTGAATAAAATTTGCAGCATATATATATGTGTGTGTGTGTGTGCGTGTGTGTGCGTGCGTGCGTGCGTGCGTGCGTGCGTGTGAGCGTGTGTGTGTGAAAAGTATGCGCGTACATCTTTTTCTAACATGTATAAGTAATTTATTTTGTTATCACATATCAATCTCATTCGAGAGTTAAGGATTATCATTATCGTTATATTAAATCGCTCTATTTCGACCTTTTCTTCATTTTCATAACTTTGCATATAAATATATATATTACCGAAGTTTGACCTCCACTATATCTATTATGGCCGAGAGAAACCCGACGTTGTAAAATGAGATCCTCACAATATGCGGTACAAGCAAATTAATCTCACAACTCGTATATCAGGAACGACTATTGAATCAAGCAACACTAGATGAACTATTATTAAAGCAGTTATCTATAGAATCTTGCGATTCGAGTATAACGATATCTTATTCAATAATTAAGGAGTTGAAGTTTGTTCTTTAGTTGCTTTGTAGTGAGTGTATGCGCGTATGAATATTAGACAAATCATTATCTGTGTCCATATACATATGTGTCCATATATATAAACGACACACAAATTTCTAATTGCATTATTAATGCATAATATATTGTAAGCGAATATTTTTAAACACACGTATATTTAAACACAGTCTATATTTATATAAAATTTGCGATGAAAAATTGTTGTTTCTCTAACTCTGATTATATTAGATTGTTAAATTTCAATTTGTTCTCATTTTTTATCTTGCAGAAAATTGTACATCATATATTATTAAGGTTGAAGTTTGATCCACTTTTAGGCGGCGATCGTCGGCAAAACGGAATAACAAAGAGTTAGTAAAAGTTTAATAGGCAATACGTCACTTTCGCGGTTGAGTGGATAACGCATTACAGTAGCACTCCTTAAACCTCGGCTAATAGAGCGCTGAGAGCTATAACTGGCTAGGAGATTCGAATAGCTTATAAGGAAAATAGCGTTGGATGAGGTGATTTCACGGTACGAAGATTTTAAACCGCGAGTTCCGTAAACTTGCATCAAGAATGAAGTCTTCACGGTTTGCTAGCACCTGACATTTTTACTTTGCAAGCTTTAGAGGCACGAATATTGCTTAGCTCTGAATTTTGCGTAGTAGCGCATTAGAATGTGAAAAATATATATGGATTTTATTCATCACATTTTACATCAATGCTCACTTCTGTAATAATTATACTATTTTATGACTTTTTTTATAAAGCAAGATCTTGTGTTTATTTCTTAATTTTTATAAATATAGATTGTTTTACATATATGTGTATATACTTACTTGCGGAATTCTAAACAATCGTAGAAGATTGGCAACTTGAATTGATGTTACTGAACTCGCAGCACCAACGACACCACTGATTACCTTTCGTACAGCAGTTTTGTTGCAGTGATATTCTGCACCATCTATGTTACTTATCGAACCTGAAATGTACAATAATAATACACATTAGTGTTTCTATTTGCAATTTATTTAAACGTAATATTTGAAATATTAACAAATTAATTAGCTTAATGATACGCCTATTAATACATACTATGCTGATGAAAGTTTGTTGCTAATAAACACGGAGATAAATTCGTGTTAATACAATAATGATGTTGTTTTGTTCGGGTTGTTAATATTTTCATCATTGGATGGGATATACTGGTCAATTAATCAGTTTACGGTAATAATTCGTTTTGTGTGACACAAATAGACAGCAGCTGAATCAATAAAAGGAATAATATAATGCGAACAAAACGGATACTATAGATATCATGAGTCGATACTCACAAATATAAATTGCACATGCAAAAATTAGTGATGCAAATAATTTCCATAATTTATTTATTGATTCATTTATATTAATATTGATCCTATTGTTTTTTTATTTATGAATGTGTGCTATTTTACATAAATAATTTATATATAATCTCAACGGATTATATATTATAAAAACTTTTATCGACAGACGCAATACATTTGACGGATTGCATACTGCCTGATATAAAACTAAATAGAATTAAAATTTATTTAGTACATTCAATCGTATTTTATCACTTAATATTATGCAGTCCACAATAAAATAAGACTGAAATTAATGACATTTTTATAACATGATTTACAACAAATTCGTTATATTTTCGTTCTCGTTTTCTTTATCGCTTGAATTTTACTCCACGCAATTTTGCAGGATAACACCTGTTGAATTGCTCGTTCTTACTATTGTCTGTCATTGATCCATGTGATTGCGAGTGCAATTTATGAATGGAAAAAGTTGACATTTGCTACGTAATAATGTTCAAAAACGTATTGGAGTAATGGATGCAGTTTCTTTTATTATTTTAAAATGTAATTTAAAATCCACAACACTTTAAAGCAATTTAAAGCAGTGAAAAACAATATTTTTATCATTAAACTAAAAAATAGTAATAAAAATTATCAATAGTAACGAACTATCAATAATAATGAACTTAAATAAATTTTCATATTGATATATCAATGTTAGGATGTTTATCTTATAATATTTCAAATATTTAATATCTCACGTCATAACGTCGCATTTTTATATATGGTTTTATTGATTATCACGAAATGTACAAATGACATAAATGGATATATCAGAAGAAGTGCAATTTTTTTATATCATTTTAAAGTTTTTTTCTATATAGTTACGTAGAGATTAAATGTTTATATGATACGTTTATATAATGTGAGGAACGTTGTTTAATTGAATGTCAAAAATCGTGTAAAAAAATTTTAGATACATAGTCGTTGTGTGTATAAGAAATTAATCTGCCGATTTTACACTTGAAGAATGTCATTTTTTACATACGTGAAGATAATGTTTACCAATGAAATTCACTCTTACTTCTATACATACTATAGCTAGTGTAAATATTTGCCAAAGACTCAGTATTGATGAAAGTCGAACAATGATTCCTTCTTGGAGGTTTCGAATTTTCCTCTTTTTGGAAGCTTCATTTTTCTTTTTCCACTCTTTTCTCTTCGAAACGCGGCGGCGGAAGAATTACGATAGAAACGTTTTTCACTGACACCAACAAATCAATGACAAAGAAATTGTTAGAAGCTTTATGCATTCTATGATAAAAAATGATGAGCAAAGAAGAGACTAGTAAAATAATGTAAAAATGGAAACGTTCGCACCTTGTTCCGAGCTCTTTGTATGTCCTGCTTTGCACATTGTGAGAAATGAGATCTTATTTTCACGGATCTGCACATATGATAACGCATGTTTCCTCCTTTAGTCAAGATTATGATGTCGGGAAGTAAGATTGGTCGATACGCGCAAACCGAAGGACGCAATGCGAGAATGACGATAGAAAAATCTTTCTTCGTATATATTCGTATTTACGTGAATCGATGGATAAACTTGAAATACTACAAGGAAAACATTTTTAACAATGGATATCTGCGAAATATATCCATTGTACACATTTCATATGCGTATCAATTGTTAAAATGTTTTCCTTATTGCAAGTTTATCTGCCATTTCACGTAGATGCAAATATAAGAAAAATTTCTTTATCGTTATTTATTTAAAACGCATTACTGTTTTAGCAATTCTATGGTAAAAATGTTATTTCTACATTATACTGAAATTGCTCATGAAATTCAATTACTTTTTCTTGGAAGAGATAAAATATATACATATATGTTTTTTTTTGGCTCTTTTTATGCAATCAATTGGAAATCAAAAATTTTGTACAATGCATGCTACAATATTATATATGATAATATACTATATGTGATAATGTGTTAATACGAATAAAATAAAATAAAAAATAATAATAATAGTAATAAAAATTTATAATAATAGGAAAAAAATTACAATAATAAAGAGAAAAATTTGTAAAATTTTTATCTTTCTACAAAGTATAGAAAGAAAAAGAATAAAAATTCAATATAAGTTTTTATTGTATAATCGCATCTTTATTATTTTAAGAATGAAGCATATATGTGTGTGTGTGTGTATACCTATATTATAATATATATTATAACATAAATTTAATTTAGACTATAAACGTTAATCTCTATTTTTAGCGAGATTCGTTAAATATAAGATTAATTTTGTTTTACCTTTTAGTTAATATATTATTGCATAATATTTCCTTCGATATCGAATAAATTCTTTTTATTTACTTTATATATCCTCTTTTTAATTTGAATGTTTTACGCTTGAAGTATCTTATCAATTCATATAAAAAACAGGTAAACTCATTAACTGTTATGCCTGAAGTAAAAACTCTCTGAGCAAAACTTACAAATTGATGGATCGCTTGATCTATCGTTACACTCATCGTAATTGGCAAACTGATTATAAAGTAACGTTTAAAAAGCATCACCGTTTATATATAGATTGTTAAGGTTTTTCTATATATGTGTATATCCATATATTTCTGTTATATTTACAAATATAAATAAATATCTATATATGCGAAAATGTAATGCAAACATAACAATCAGTGTTGAAAAATAACATCGTAATAACATATCAATAGTCCATATATACTAGAAAATATGTATTTACAGTGGAAACTACATTTGCATAAAAATACGTATGTCGATATTTGTCATCTCGATATATTTTCGTGTTCAATCACGATACATTTGCTCGCCGACTAATTTGTGTTATTTGCAAATGTGCTTCAGCGCGGATATTTCGAATAATCGATCGTCAACGTTACGAATATTCGTGCTCGTTCGTATACTCGACGGATCGTCCTAATTTTCGGCTCATTGGCTATTACTGAAATTACGACAGCGGCCGTTTTGTGTCGGAAACCGCGAGCCATGGTCGAGGAATATCGAATAATGCTCCTACTCTTGCACGAACAGCTAACGGGATTCCGAAGCCGAAAGTTTCTTTTTTTCAATATGCTTACTTAATTTTATGAAATTATTATTACAATCTCTAATGTTATTAAAATAGGTTTTTTACATCAACGATCGGTTATTTCATAAATTCTATTATTTTAAGTTAAAAGAAACAGCATATTTTTTGAAGAGCATTTTTTCGACTCGATCTGATCCAATCTTTGAAAACATACCAACTTTAGTTCACGGTTGTTTGAGTTCACGGTTGTTTAATGGTAAACTTACAATGACATAAACAATTTAAAGCAATTTAATTTATTCTTGAATCTTAAATGAATTGTATCTGTGCAAATCTTTTTCTCTGTTTCTTGTATCGAAGTACTTTTTCGTGTCGCGCGGACGCGTAGTGAGGAAAAATGAGAATGCATAAGGTGATATTACCTTGAAATTACATTGTGCTTTATGTAGCGAGGTTTTCTAAAGGAGTGAAATGGAACAAGTCAAATTTGCATAAAAGTACGTGTTACGAAATCCGATGCTTTCTCGTTACGACGTTTCTTCAGCCGCCGTTAATAAATAAATATGCAATTTGTTAAAAAATTTATGACAAATTCTTTGAATTTGTGAAAAATAGAATTACTAAGACAAATGTAGGTATTATCTTCTCTACATATTATACATTTTAATTAAGAAATGTCAAAGAATTTGTAGACATTCGAAGAATGAAATATAATTACGTTAGGTAGTTTCGCGCGTAGATTTCTCTTTCACAAATCTTCGAAGTCTTAATAAAAAAATGATAAATGGTTTACTTGTTTACAGACAATTATTTTTTTCTTTTATACATTTTATTTATTATATATTTAATTAATATATAATTAATTATACATATATTTATACATAGATTTATACATATATTTAAAATTATTTATAATACATTATTGTATCATGTGCAAAATTTCTTGCTCCTGTTATTATTACACACTGACTTTCTTTTATTTTATCTTCTTTTGTCTACCTTTAAAACTTTTCTTCCATTACATTTCACTCATTATCAGATTTATAGCAACGGCGAGGTTTATAGCTGATAGTTTAGAAAGACAATGCTATAACATTTATGCACATTTATACAATGCTATAACATTTGTGCACATTTATTTATACATTGACAGTTCCGTCAAGTTAAGTATGTTATTCATTTTATCTAAGTGTAACAAAATATCAACAATTAATTAAATGTTTAACTTGGTAATTTTTTCTAGCGGAAAATTACGAAGGGAGGAACGAGCGAAAGTACGCGAAATCAGAACGTGTTGGCGTTGAGTTTAAGCGTCGAAGTGAGAAATCAGCGAGAGAAATAAAATGCTAGGAAAACGTGCTAGAGAGTATAGTACGCGAAAAATTCGAGAGAATGAGACCGAGTTGTAGTCGCGTTAATTTCAATCGCGGGTCAAGATGTCATTATTATGCATCTCACGTAAAGCGGCTTCTTGACTTTTACATTTTACCCCGCAATTTAAAAGTAATTAGTAAAGATAATCACAGCATGCAATTTCTTCTGGAGCTAAATGAAACATTTATGCTGATACTGCTCGATATCGTT